CACGGGATCCGGGACTCAAACCGTGGTCAACTGCATGGGAGTCCAGTGACATAGCCATTATGCTAACTGCTGGTCCCAAGGAAATTTATTTTTTAAAGAATCATTTTATTTAACTTGATTTATATATTTATATAATTTGACCAGAAAGGGACAGAATGAGAGAGAGAAAGTGAGAAAGCAAGCTGCCAGAGCCAGGACTCGAACCGTGCTCAGCCATGTAGAAGTTCAGTGCCCCCCCAACCACCACGCCACCTGCTAGCCCCCAAATAAGGAAATTTAGATGGAGAGAGTTTCTGTGACTTGTTCAAGGTCATGCAGCAAAGTCAAGATTCAACCCCATATGCATTCAAGTACAAAGCTCACTTTTTCCATGTCCGTTTCCAGCCTATCCTTTCTTGGAAATTTTTCTCGCTTCTCATGTTACCATTTCCTTGGATTTCTCTTCCACTGAAGACTATTTCCTTCCACTCATTAGTCACTGGAAGAACTGCATCCCAGGGCACCGGGGGAAACTGTTCCAGTGAGGAAGAGGTATTGGGCCATCACATTTTGGCCCCAGAGTCCTCCAAGAGCAGTACCTGAGACCCTGCAGTTCCGCATGGCTCATTGGGCCCAGAGCACCGCCCATATAGGGTGGACACGACAAAAATCCAGGACTGAGTAGATGCATGGGTAAAAATATCAGTTCCAAAGTTGAATGTCTTGACGGTTGGAGCCCTTCCTTTTTGAGTCAACTGAGAATGTTTGGTGACTGTCGGAACACTCCGGGGAGAACCTGTCTCCAAGCCACGATGGTCGTCCTGTTCCCAACCTTCTGTCCCAAAGCTTCTCCAGCCTTCCTGGTCCTTGGCCTGAGACTTTGATTCTTGATGCCTGAGTTCCTCCTGCAACCCTGGGTAGGGCCACCTTCTCACAGCTGCCAAGTCCACTACTGTACCCTCCAAGGGAGGACTGGATGTGGATCCCAGATGTGGGATTGTAGGCAAGTCATGTCCCTTCTCTTGGGCCTCAGTTTACCCTTCACTGAAATGGGACTAAGAATAACTCCCTAGTAGATGATTATAAAGATTCAGGAAGTGTGAGGCTGGTGGGTGGCGTGGTGGTTAAGGTGTTGGACTCTCACATGGCCAACCATGGTCCAAGCCTAAAACCTGACATCTCTCTCTCTCTCTCTCTCTTTCTCTCTCTCTCTCCACTGAGCACATGTGACCTATAGCAAATTTTAAAAGTAATAATTTTTTTAAAAAGATTCAGGAAGTGTGGAACTGGCGGGTAGCATAGTGGTTAGGGCGCTGGACTCCCACATGGTCAACCATGTCTGAATCCCAGACCTGACAGCTCTCTCTCTCTCTCTCTCTCTCTCCCTCCCTCCTTTCCTCCCTCACTCTCTCTCTCCCCAGTGAGCACATGTGACCTATAGCAAATTTAAAAAGTAGTAATAAGTTAAAATACATATATATTCAGGAAGTGACTGGGCAGCAAAGGCCCTGGCGTACAGATGACGCTCAAGAAATGGCCGCAGACACCAAAGTTTCTCCTGCAGCCAGCGCGGTTCCTCCCCGTCCCAGCAGCAGATGTTGCAATCAAGTGTATTTGCAGGCATCGCGAGGGAGGGTGGGCTACCTTGGAAGGGGGATACGTGGAGAGTGCTCTTTGGGAAATTATGACTCCTGCAAAAGGCTTGACACTTCTATTTTCTACCTGTCAGGAAAAATATAACTATTTCCTAGTGGTCAGCCAGGTTTCCCTTTTTCTACTCCATTAACCCACATCTGGCCAGGCAGTACTCCTGTCCTGCGGGGAGCGGGTAATCCAGAGGACACTGATGTGAGAATTACAGAAACCTGTGGCCATTCCTTACCGAGCTTTGGAAATTGGCTGTGCAGGCTGTTAGGGTACCTTGGGAGTGCCTGGAACATCGTCTGCAGAAGAACCCAATAGAGATAGCCATCTTGGTGACAGGTGACGTGAAAAGCTCTGTGTCCACTGACATGTTGTTACTGGGGCTCAATAACTGTGCGCTGACGTGCTTTGAAGTCTGCCACAGTGACTTGTGATTGAAATACGGAGCAGGAGCGCAGAGGAAGGCAGGATGGGAATTGATGGCCTGGGTGGGAAACTCGGGCGGGAAGAAAGGAAGGGAGGAGGGAGGAATAGAATAGAAAGAGTCAGCATGCCTGTGTCTAAGGAGCAGCAGCCTTGTCAGTGCCAGGCTGGGCACACTCCCAGCCACCAGCATTAGGGGTGTGCGTGGCCATGGAGTGCGATCTCTCAGTCCCCAGATCCTGCTTGCCAGTCAACCCATCGCCTGTCTGGCTCCTGAGGGAGCTATTCACACGAGGGATAGTGACAAATGGGAAATCAAAGGCCCACTTCACCCTGAGCTGGGGCAAGGTTGTGAGGCCCTGTGAAGGGTTGAAAGCTGCACTGAGCACAGCTCAGCGACCTGACGGCTGGCCCTGACGTCCAGCTTTCTAGATTCCCTGGGCAAATGCGACCTGCCTTGAGCCTGGCCCGCCAGCATGATCCTGGTCAGGAGGCTGGTGCCCGGGACAAGCCCAGGGCCGCCTCCAGTCACTCAGACTAGTGAACTCCATTTCTCCAGAAAGGGCAGGGTCACTCACTGCAAGGTCAGCCCCAGGCAGCCTCCAGGGCCACAGTGGTTCCAGCCTGGAAGAGAAAAAGGTGGAAGGGGGAGAGAGGCTGAGAGGGGCACCCACATGGCTGTGGAGCTCCCAAGTTGCAGGCACCGTGCTGGGTCCTTGGCATGATCACTTCCTCACCACCACGCAGGCAGGGCTGATCTTCACTGGAGAGGTCAGGAGATGACGGCGCAGAGGGGACGTGCATTATCCATAGTCACATGGCAAGAAAAAGCAGCAGAGGGTCGGCTCCACAGCCTAATGGTCAAAGGGAGCCGAATCCCGCATGGCAAACTGTGGTTCAAGTCCTAGCCCTGGTGGCTGGAAAACATGCCAGGTGCATACGCATGCATGCCCCAGATCCTAACAGAACAGAGAAATGGGAGAAAAGGGATTGGGGGCAAGACCACACACCTCTGGGAGTTCTTTCTCCCTCCCTTTTTCTCTCTGTCTCTTTCTAGCAAATGTGTATGCCTTTTGGCAATTTTTTTTTTCCCCGAGAGCGAAATTTTTGCTATAGGGTGCATGCGCTTGCTAGAGAGACAGAAAGACAGAAGTAAGAAATCACCCCCCAGGAAGGGGATGGCCACACCACAAACCCTTTTCCTCTATTCTCCTCTCAGGATTCTGGGCATGTACGCACATGTGCCCAGCATGAGATTTAAGCTGCTGGGTCCAAGACTTGAACTGCAGTCGACTGTGTGGGAGTCCAGCGACATAACCATCACACTATCTGCTGGTCCCGTCACCTGTTAATTAGTAAAAAATAAAAAAGGGCCGGTAGGTAGCATGATGCTTAAGGAGGCTGAATTCCTATGTGGCCTACCATGGTTTGAGTCCTGGACCTGGTAGCTTGAAAATCATTCTGAGTGCTTGCCCAAAATCCCAAGAGGAGAATGGAGAAGGGATTGTAGCATGGTTATCCACCCTGAGAGATATTTCTCACTTGCTCTCTCTCTATCTCCCTCTGTCTCTCTTCTCTCCAGCGAGTGCGTGCACCCTGTGGCAAAAGCCTAAGGAAAAAAAGAGTGACAAGGGGGTGGGGAGGATTCCAAACATCGCTCCCTGGCTTGGGCAGGAAGCCCCACTGCTGACATCAGACTGAAACCTAGTTGCCAGGGCCTCCCTGTACCTAGCTAGGAAAACATCCGGAGCTCAGAGGCCTGTCCCCTTCCACCTCCCGTCTCTTCCAGGTGACTCCCCTAAATAAGCATGTCAGGGCCACCCCAGCAGCACTCTCAGCCCACGCAACGGTGCAGGCTCAGCCTGGGCTGTTCTGCTCCGTACCTCTGGGGTTTGATGTGGCCATTTGGGGACTTACGTAAAATCCTCAGGTGACAGATTAAGAGAGAGTGCAGGAGCCTTGAGCCCTCTGACTGTAGATCTGGCCTCAGGACTCATCTATGAACACATCCAGTGGGGAAGCACTCTGGACAAAAGTGGTGGCCGCTGTCATCACCGGGTCACCTGAGCATCACGCTGGTAGGAGAGAGCAGTGCCATGGGCCCAACTTTCCTTCCCCCTGTCAGAGACTAAGCAGTGGGAACATGAAAATGGTCACAGAGCGTATGTTTTGAAGCGTGGAGTTTTCATTTCCCTTTTGGAGCAGGCAGGGACCTATGTCAACCTGTGTGAAGTCACACTGACGCACACTGACTGTGACAAAGACTACTAGTTTATCGGTGGGGAACCAGCCTCAGGAAGGTGAGCTAGTTTACCCAGGGCCGTCCAGCTGCCAAGTGGCAGAGCCAGGGCTCAACTCAAGCCTTGCTGCCCTGGCTGACCCATCAGCCCCTAGGTAACCAGTGGTTGACCTCAGAGGAGTCCACAGGACCCCACTTCTGCTTATATGCTCAGCCTGCTCACTCCCCACCCCTGCTAGGCCCCATCAGTAGTTCCAGCTATGGGAAGGGAGCGTGTTCCAGACAGGGACGCAGCCCAAGCAAAGACACCATCTCTATCAGCTCAGGGCGCTGTAACAAAAATACCACGGGAGGTAGCTGGAACAGCACAAGTTTATTCCTCTCACTTCTGGAGGCTGGGAAGTCTAAGATCAAGGGGCTGGCGATCGGCGTTGGGTGAAAGCCCACTTCTCGATCTGCCCACGGCCACACGCAGCAGGGAGCAGAGAAGCAGCCTCTCTCTGGTGTCTCTTAAGAGGCCACTAATCTCATTGATGGGGCCCCAGCCTCATGACCTGATCACCTCCCAAGGGCCAACCTCCTCACACCATCACACCGGGCAGATGGGATTTCCGCCTATGGATCTGAGGGGACACGAACGGCCATACCAGGCATGAGGAGCGCGAGCGGGGCAAGTGTCGGTCTGGCAGTCAACGTCTCCCTCCATCTGTGGCAGGAACTGCAAGCTCAGCAGCAGCAGCTTGTCCATGGCCGCCGTGGACATCCTCTACATCGACATCACGAGGAGGTGGAACTCCATGACCCTGGACCAGCGAGACTCAGGTACCAGGGGACCCCTCCACTGAGGAGGGATGGGCGGGGGCAGGGGGAGGTTCTGCTCCTTCTTCTTGAGGGTCCAGGTTCGGCAAGGAGGCTGATCCTGTCAGCTCTGGACCTCGTTCCAGAGATTGAGCTGCATGTAAATTCCAGGCACTGCCTGCCACCGAGGCTGTGCCACCCACATCCAGTCCCTGCTGGCATTCGCTGTCTGATGGAGGGTTCATCCACTTCCATCCACACAGCGGATACACGTTGTCATTCACGCACTCGTCCCCCAGCACACGTCACGAGCACACGCTGAGCAGCTCCTAGAGAAATGGAGGTGGACAGCGCTTGGTTCTGGCCTTGCTGGAACTCACTGCGGAGCCGGGAGGCAGAGGAGGACGCAAGGCAAGCACGAGCCTCGGGCCAGGCAGGCTAGGATGGAGGGATGCCCGGAGAGGCTAGCGGGGAACCTGGTGGAGGGGCTCCTGGTCCCGGGAGCGCCAAGGAGGAGTTGCTGCCCAAGGGGATGCAGGATAAACTGGCGGATAGGGTTGGGACAGACAGACTGTCTGGGGTGTCCCCCAGCCTAGGTGTGGACATATGTGAAAGGCCATGACTCTCAGCCACTCCACGTAGCTCAGATGGACCAGAGCTGGAAGAGAGGCAGGGCTGGCTCAGGGGCACAGCGGGAACACACTGCTCGCCTGACGCTGGATCCAGATGAAGACATGAGTTCAGCTCCCTGGCCGGCCTATACCTGCTGGCGCACGGGCACACGATCCTGGCTGGGAAGGCCGGGAGACGGGGCTGCAGCATGAGAGCCCATTGATGGTGCTTGTCTCTCTCTCTTTCATTAAATAAGTAAGGAAAGAGGGGAGGAGGGTGGGGAGGGAGCAGTGTCGAAGGCTTGAACACCACTCATGAAATGTGACCTTGACCCCCTGGGTTACACGGGGACAGATCTGTTAGCAGAATCCTCCTTTAAGTGGACAAGGAGGTATTTTCCGGTATTCCAGTATTTCTCTGACAGTGTGTTCTAGAGAGCCGTCCGAACCCTAACTGACAGCTGTACAGCTCACCACATAACCAAGCCCTTTGCTGCATGTTCCTCATCAAATGCCCCATGCACCAGCAGGCATTGTGAGTTTCATTTCACAGACGAGCAAATGGCAGCCCAGGTAATCCAGGTCCCTGGCACCCACGCCTCCCCAACACCTCAGGTGCCTCCCCACCAAAGGGACACACAGACCAGGGTGCCTGTCGCCAGTCGCTTGCTCCTGTGATTCAGTGGAGAGGACCTGAGGTCAGAGGTTGGGAGATCCAGATTAGAATTGACTATGCCATTTCCTGCATCGTGGTTCGAAAAGCCATCTCGCCTCCTAATCTCCAGTTCATCATCTGTGAAATGGCACCAACAATGCCCGCTCTCCAGGGTTGCCCGGAGGTCTCACGTGTCAGTGGCTGTGAAAGCGTTCAGAGTCGCAGCTCACAGGGCAAGGCAGTTAATCTTGTTAGTGGACAGCGCTTGGGAAGAATGGGTGGTCTGTCTGACAGCTGGTGCTGCCTGGCAACCCTGCCCATACTCGTGGGGTGTGAACCTTTCCGACCGAGGAGTACCAGCAGGCCCTTCCTGCAGGGCACCGGTGCACAGCCGATACTTACTGCCTGGCTTCACGTTTGGAAATGATGCTGCCAGTGGCCCGTTGCTGTCATGCCCTGTGTGCCAAGCACTCTGTGGGCACTTCACTCGTGCAGCATGAACTAGGCTTTGGTGGTAGGCATGATCGTCTCCATTGTACAGAGGGGAAACTGAGGCTCAGAGGCATGGCTGGTGGGTAGGGCCCAAACACCAAGTGCCTCTGCTCCCTTCTGGGTTGCTTTCTCCTTCCAACTGGCCTCAGACCAGCAGCCCTGAGCACCAGGAGGGCTTCTATCGTATCTCTGCAGTTGGCAGCTCCATTACAGCCTTCCCTGGCAACCAGGAGAGGTGTGAGATGGAGCGTCTTCAGGAGAAGTAGGCAGATTAATTATCATTTCGAGGACCGAGCGCGCGCGTGTGACAGTGGAGCGCGGCACTTTTTGCTGACGCCTTCAGAAAGTGAAGAAGCGTTTGCTCTGAGAGTTGAATGCGAGGCGGCATCACAGGATCCCGCGGAGGGGGCCAGGGGAGGGGGTGGGGGTGGCAGCGGCATTATTAAATATTGAAATTGATCAGGAGTAGCAGCAGGAAGCTATTTATCATGTTTTATTGCTTCAAACTAGCATTACCATCTGGTCCATTGTTCATTCTGAGTAGCTTTTCATGTTTTGTTTGCCTCTTAAATCGCTCCTGTAAGCGGAATCCACAGGGGTTGTCCACAATGGGCTCCAGGGAGGTTTTCCGGGGTCTGCCAGGGTCTCTCCGTTCTGCTGACCAGCTAAGGAAATGAGAAAAATACTTATTTTTAGCACACACTGATGAGCAAATCTGGGGTGAGAATGTACTGGCCCCCGATGTCCCTCTGCCCTGGTAGTGTGGAACTAGTCGTTAGCAGCCAGGTGATCTCGAGAGCATCACACTCGTGCATGCATCGCTGCTACGCTCACACCAGGCCTTCGAGGCCCATTTTACTGATGAGAATCCTGCGGTTCCGAGAGCTAAGTGACCTGGCTAAAATCCTAGTCAGTGAGTAGCAAAGGCGAGATTTAAATCCAGGCCTCCTGTCTCCTCATACAGGGTGTGGGTCTCCATCCAGGACCGCACCCACCATGCTGAGGAGGAGGTGGGACATGTGAGGCTGAAGTCAGAGGGGGCTGCAGCTGCAGGGAGGTGAGAAGTCAACTCACCCAGTGCAGAGCCTGACCAGCAGACGAAGACGGAGTGGGAGGGAGTGACTTGTCCACGCTCCTGTCTTCTCTCCCTTCATCCTCAGAGTTTAAACTTCTGTCTCCATCCCTCCTGAAGGGAAATCGCAGGGTTGGAGTGAAGGGGGCTGTCTCAGAAATGGGCCTGGAACAGAAAGCCTATCTGTTCCCAGGAGTTCAGTGGCACTGCTGTCTCTCAGCTGGTGTCAACCAGGGCCCAGTTCTTGCCTCCTTCTCAAGGGCGGTCCAAGGCCCCGTTCCCCCAGAAGCAGCAGCATCTGGAGCCATCCACCTTCTTAGGAACAGTCAGGAAGCTGGCAGGTAGCAGATAATGGGTGAGTGGTGGATCTTCCTTTTGATAAGTGTCAGTATGAAGGCCAGAGGGCCTCTTCCTTCCTTCTCAGCATGGTGCAAAGCCAAGGATTCTTGGGCCCTCAGTCCAGTTAAGTCCTGGTCAATGGTGGGAGCCCTGCTGAGAAGACAGAGCTGTGGTGAGGTTGACAAGGTAGAAAGAAGCCTTTGGAGAGTAATGAGTGTGGGTTCCCATTCTCAGAGAGCATGCACGTATTCATTCATATATTCATTCGTTCAACAAACAGGTAATGAACACGTTACTAGACAATGGGTCTCAGGGAGATACTGGAGGTCTTCAAAAGTTCTTGGAAAGTACTTATTATGGAGAAAAGTTAAAAAAAAAAACTGCATGGATTTCAAAAGTTTTGCACAAGGACCAGCAGATGACATGTTTACTTTGTTGTACTCCCACATAGCTGACCACAGTTCACGCCCCAGACCCGGAGCCTTGAAACTTACACTGGGCATGTGTGCATGCATACCCAAAATCCTGACAGGAGGATGGAGTACAAGGGATTGTGGCATGGCCATCCCCCCTGGGAGGTGATTTCTTGCTTTCTGTCTCTCTCTCTCCAGAGAGCATACACGCTCTATAGCAAAAATCTCTCTAAAAATATATTTTTTGCACCCTAATAAATTTGTACGTAAATTCCATTTTCCATGAACTTTTTGAAGTCCCCTTGGACAAAGATAAATTATTTACAGATCCTATTCCCTTTAGAAAGAAACATAGAGACCATTTAACACTCATTACATGACAGAAGTAAAAAATGCTTGTTAAAGGGCCAGCCTCATAGTGTTGTTAAGAGATTCCACATGGCCAGCCACAGTTCGTACCCTCGTGCTGGTGGTTTGAAGAACATGATGAACACACCCTGACCGGATAAAGAAATAGAGGAAAAAAAGATTACTTCATGGCCATACCCCCATTGGGAAGTGCATTCTCTCTCTCTCTCACAAACACACATGCCCTCTAGAAATTAAAAAAAAATGCTTGTTATAAATTATCTCATTTAGGGAACCAGCAGTTAGCATAATGGCTATGTCGCTGGACTCCCATGTAGTCAACCATGGTTCGCGTCCAGACCCAGTGGCTTAAAACTCACACCGGGCGCGTGTGCATGCGTGCCCAAGATCCCAAGAGGAGAATGGAGGAGAAGGGATTGCGGCATGACCATCTCCCCTGGGGGGTGATTTCTCGCTTTCTGTCTCTATGTCTCTCTCTGTCTGTCTGGCGAGCACACGCGCCCTATAGCAAAAAATAAATAAATTATCTCATTTAATTCTCTCATAATCCAGTGAGATAAAGATTGTTACTCCCATTTGACACATGAGAAACTTGCTGTTCAAGGAGATCAAATTAAATAGATGTGTAGTTTTACAGTAGGGGACCCCAGGATTTGAACCAAGAGCAATCTTACTTCAGAGCCCCTTGTGTTTTCCTATAGTACCCAGGGTCTCTCAGTCACAACTGTGAATACAATCCACAGCTTACTGACAGTTGTAATGGAGTATGACCAGAACTATCATGGGAGAAGCAGCAACGGAGGCTTACTATGAGGATTCAGAGAGCAAGAGAACACATAAAAGACACTTAGCATGATGTGGAACTCATAACAAGCACCCACTACGTATTCTGTATCCTCAAGGGCCTAGCCCGTGGCCTAGCTTGTGCAAAAGCATCTCACCCAGTGTCCAGTGAGTGTCTGATGAATTGCACAGAAGCCAAAATGAAAGACACCCCACGTAAGCAAGGCAGGGAGTCCCAAGTGTGGAAACCTGGTATACAGGAGAGGTGGTCTCCATGACGGGTCTCGCTC